GGTACATGGACCCTTAGGGTATGTTCGAGAACTCAAACGAATCTTGTCAGTCATGATTTCGGCCTCTGACCCTGAACCCTACCACATATGTAAGGTTGAACCCATGGGCCCCTAACATGGGCCCTTAGGGGATTCTAGGCTCCCTGAAGGGCATATAGAAGGTATATAGTAGGTATATTAGGGTCCCAGGGTTAAGGGCCCATACTAAGGGTTCTACCGTAGATCATAAGACCCTACTTGGAGGTTTATGGGACCTAGCAAGTACAGTTATAAGGCTAGGGGTTGTAAGTAATTATGAGTATCCTTACCTCGTTACCTCACCTAGTTGATAAGTCCCATGAGCCCTATGAGCCCCCCTAAACCCTAAACCCTAAACCCTAAACCCTAACCCCTAAACCCTAAACCCTAAACCCTAAACCCTAATGAGCCCTAAGCCGTGTGGCCCACTTCTCCTGGCTCAGGCCGACCTCTGCCAGCTCCTCAGCACAAGCCACCCAGAGACCCCAATACCCCTTAATTAAGGAATATACCTTAAAGGGCTCTTGTAACGGGATCTATAAGGGTTTCTATAAGGGTATCTATAAGGGTACTATATGAATTAAGGAATATACCTTAAATCATAGTAGGGATCCTACTATAACTTAAGGCATATTCCTTAATTAAGGGATATTGGAGTCTCTGGGCAAGCTCCATAAGCAGGGCTTCGACTTGGAAGTCTCGGTCTAAACCCTAAACCCCTAAACCGAAACCCCCTAAACCCTAAACCCCTAAACCCTAAACCCCTAACCCCTAAACCCGAAACCCCCTAAACCCTAAAAGGGGTATTCGGATTGGGGTTGGGGCTCTGGGTCTTTGAGGTTGAGATCGTCTGTTCTTGCTGCTGCGGGAATAGTCCTGGTTTTTTCTCGAGACTTAAAATAAATGCCACCCTAAACCCTCAACCCTAAGCCGCTTTAGGGTTTAGGGGGGTTTAGGCCTGCCGCAGAGGGAAGGTCAATAAACCCTCCCAAAGGCTCCATGTACCTTTTTAGTAGATACTTGAGCCTCAAAGGGTTCACTATATGCGTACTTTAGGGCTTAAGCATCTACTATAAAGGTACATGGAGCCTTTGAGCCTAGCCCTAGCCTAGACCCCAAAGCCGTACGGAAGTTCTACTACTGGTGAACGAATGAAACCATGAGCATCTATGGGCCTTATGGAGTTTAAGGGCTATAGTAGAGTCGGTAGAGTAGCCATCACAGCAAGAACAGGGTTTGACGGGACCCAAAACTCTAATCTGAAGCCTAATGTTAGCGGCTGATGTTCAGTAGAATCACGCTCGGGGTCTGTTGTAGAAACCAAGATGAACTGGGAGTACAGGGCATCCAAAGGGTTGTGAATAAGGTAGCTGTGCTTGTTATTCCAAACAGGAGCCCAGCTTAAGGTGCTTACAAGTTTACTTACCAAGTCCCATGAACCTTCAAGTAGGGTTTCCAAGCCCCAGACATAACTTTACTGTCTAATGTAGGGGCCTTAATAATTAGACCATTATACCATAGTGATAATAAGGAACCCCCAAAATAGTATAGGTGGTTACTAAGGCCCCTACACTGGGGTTGTGGGCTTTCAGGTTTTCGGCACTCACACTCGGACAATCCAGGCGAGGCATTTGGTCTTGAGTCGACAATGTTCAGGGTGTTGGGTTTAGGGCCCTAAACCCTAAACCCTGTTTGGGGTTTAGAGTGTTGGGTCTTGAGCCTGATGGGATACCTTCTAGAAGCCTGGATCCAATCTTCGAACTGGACCCCAAACCTTGCATCCTTGAGCCGAGCTATTGAAGCGCCCTGGGGCATGTTGAGATCTCTAACCACGAAGCCCTGAATCTTTGTAAGGCCGTTTTGAAGTAAACACCCTGTAAGACCCAAAAGAGAACTTACCACAAAGCCCGGAGCCACGGTGCTTCTTCGTCAGGCTCGTGGAACCCGTCCTCGCACCAACGCACGAGCATCTGCCTGAGGTGGTTTAGTAACGTTCAGGGCCGTCAGGGTTTAAGATTTGGGATGTAGTGGTTCAGGATTGAAGGGTTTGGGCCACAGGATTCTTCAACACGAACTTAACTATCCTGGTTTAGGGTTACCGGTTTGAGGTTTACGGTCCACGGTTCAGCATCATATTCAATCCTGCAGTGAGAACTTCATCGTGTGACTGGATGCATCTTTATTGATCGCCATGAGGGAGCCACCCCAATTCTCAAAAACGGATATCCAAAAAATACCCGTGTAGGCTTGGAAGTGTTAGGGTGCTAGGATTTCGGGTGAATCATGCAGCTATGGCCCTGTAGCCGTGCAGGTTGACCTGCAGGGCTTGGGTTCTGTTCAATTTTACTAAAGTGTTGGGCGAAGGTCATCTGTCCTGCTACTCAACTCAACATGTCAACCGAAGACCATGCATCTGTAACTGTTATGAGAAAAAGCAGCCGTACATAAATCCAACGCACACTGTGACCCTTCCAAGGATTAAAAACCAACAACGTAACATGGGGGTTGCCGAAAATAGGGGAACCTAATATAGTACCCTAAATAGTAGGATCCCCATTATAAGGACCCCAGAATAAGGTACCCCTTGACTTCGGAAACTCCCACATTGGCACCCAGGAGCTGAACGCCGCTACGCAGATGGAGGTTGTCCATGAGGCTACGGACAGCTTGCCGCAGCACCTTCAGATTCCCTAAGGCCCTAAGGGTCCATGTACCCAAATAGTAGAACATTGGCCCTAAAGTACCCATATAGGGACTACCTTCAGGCCAAAGTATATACTATTTGGGTACATGGACCCTTAGGGATTGCTGAGACTGGAAGTCTTCACGATGGTCTGCCAAGTGCATTTTTTACACCTTCCACTGTCACTCCCTGATGCCCCTAACGGGAAGGTTTAGCAATGATGGTTAGGGTCCAACCCCTAAATTCTTTGGGTCGGTTCATGAAGACTGCGACTTACTTTCGACCCCCCAATCGCAAGGGCTTCGATTTAGCTGCCGTGCTTGTGCAACATTTGTGCTGTGCTGGCGCTGCACCGAGCGAACAAGACACTGAGATCTGCTACCCAGAGACTCCAATATCCCTCAATTAAGGAATATACCTTAAATTATAGTAGGATCCCTAATATGATTTAAGGTATATTCCTTAATTAAGGGATATTGGAGTCTCTGGGTACCTTTTGTTCCAGCTGAGCCTGTGCAGCACTAATGTCGCCGCCATGGCCAGCAGCACCCCAGGTCACGACAGCTCCGTCGCCAAGAATGGCAGCAAAAGCGCCGCAAGAGGCTTGGATCTGCTTCACATTCTTCAATTGATCCTGCACGGCACTACTGTCACCACCATAGTCAAGATCACCCCAGGTCACGACCGATCCGTCAGCGAGAATGGCAGCAAACGCAGAACCAAATATATTTCTGGAGGCTTGGATGCACCGCACATTCTTCAGCTGATCCTGCACAGCACTGCTGTCACCACCATGGACAGCATGACCCCAGGTCACGACCGAACCATCACCAAGAATGGCAGCAAAAGCTTGCTCAGAGGCTTGAATATATTGCACATTTTTCAACTGCTCCCGCGCAGCATTACTGTCACCACCATAGTCAGCATCACCCCAGGTCACGACCGATCCATCACTCAGAATGGCAGCAAAAGCACCGTCAGTGGCCTGGATATGCTGCACGTTCCTCAGCTGATGCTGCACAGCACTGCTGTCACCACCATAGTCAGCATCACCCCAGGTCACGACCGATCCGTTAGCGTGAATAGCGGCGAAAGCACCGTCACTGGCTTGGATCTGCTGCACATTCTGCAGCTGCTCCTGCACAGCACTACTGTCACCACCATAGACAGCATCGCCCCAGGTCACGACAGATCCATCACCAAGAATGGCAGCGAAAGCACAGTAAGAGGCTTGAATCTGATGCACATTCTTCAGCTGGTCCTGCACAGTGACACTGTCACCGCCATGGTCAGCGTTACCCCAAGTCACAACGGATCGATCTCCAAGAATGGCAGCAAATACATGGAGATTGGCTTGGATCTGACGCAAATCCTTCAGCTGATCCTGCACAGCACTACTGTTCCCACCTGTGCCAGCAAGCCCCCAAGTCACGACCGATCCGTCGCCAAGAATGGCAGCAAAAGCAAAGCCGGAGGCTTGAATCTGCCGCACGTTCTTCAGCTGATCCTGTACAGCACTACTGTCACCACCGGCCACTACATTGCCCCATGTCGCGACCGGTCCATCGTCAAGAATGGCTGCAAAAGCAGAAGCAGACATGCCGGCAGAGGCTCGGATCTGCTGCACATTCTTCAGGCGCTCCTGCATAGCACTGCTGTCACCACCATCTGCAGCATCACCCCATGTCACGACAGATGCATCACCCAGAATGGCACCAAAAGCGGTGCTAGTGGCACATGCGTGAACCTGTCTTAGGTGCAAGGTCAGTGAGTCACCAGTCTGCAACTTGGACTTCTTGATTTCCGCACGTGTATCTAAAGCGCTGCCAGATGAGTCCAGCAGCCGCCCTCTTCCAACTCCCAGCGAGATCTGTGCCCGACGTTTCAATGTTTGCACAGTGTCACTCAAGGTTACTTGCACAGTGGCGGTCTTGCCACTCAGCAGCCCAACTTCTACGCTAATCGCCATGATGTTAGACCACCGGAAGGCTCTAAAAAGTAGATCCCCAAATTTGGCCCCGAAACAACTCAGGGATACTTTAAAGGAACCCCCTTCTGGGATCTATTATATGTTTTAAATCACCCTAAACCCTAAACCCTAAGTCTTTCCGGTGGTCTGGGAAGCAGAGCCTTATGGAAGCCCTGTCCGACACCTGAACTGATGGGCAGCTTCCTCAAAACTTCACGGTTTAGGGTTTAGGGTTTAGGGCGCCCGGCCGTTTTGCTGGAAGGAATCAAGACTGCTCAGGGGCCCTGAATACTTTGAGTCGGGTTTTGGTGTATATTATTATAGTATAACTAGAATAAGGACCCCTAAGGAGTAATATCGGAGCTTATTTCCTCCTAAGCCCTGAACCCTAAACCCTACACCCTAGCCAGGGCGACGGGTTCAGGGAGTTTAGGGCTTAGGGTTTAGGGTTTATAGGGTTCTTACAGGTTGGGAATTTCGACTCTCACACTCGCACAAGGCCGGCAAGGCCCCGCATGGTTCTGGCTTGGGGTGTGGAGCTCAAGATTGACAAGGCTTTTTTAGGGTTTAGGGTTTAGGATTTATCAGGTGCAAGTACTGTCTGCACCCTCGGGACTTTATTTAAGGGCTTCTAAAACCCCCGATAGGTAAGTTTTTATTTTCAGGGTTCAAGTAGGGACACCTTAGATCCCCTCACGGTTGAGGGCTTTATGTTCTCAAATTTATTCCGTCCCCTCGCGCCACTCTCGATGGCAGAAGCTTCCATGATTCCGTCCGGTTTGCACGCCGGTGATTACAGCTTTAAGTTTTGTAAGTTTGTGTTGCGTCAGGGCTGGGCGCTATAATGTTAGAGGTAGCTTAGGCTTCGGGATTGTTTGTTTTAGGGCTGTGGAACTGTACAGTAAAGCATAGAAATCAGGGTTTCTGCTTCCAGGGTTGGGTTTCAGGGCATGAGGCTCTGAGACCTTCGCGCGAGGGCTTCCACTTCAGCAATCTAAGTTTAGGGTTTAGGGTTTCAGATTCAGGCTTAAGCCTTAGCCTGCGCAGCAGTGGTTTCAAGAGTTGTGGCGAAGGCTTTCGGGTTTGGGGTTCGGGCTCTCAGTCTAGAGCGAAGGGGGAATGATGCAATGCCGCAGGCTTTTGTAAAAGCACAGGGAGGGAGAGCTAACAAGTTAGTTGCTGACAAGGTAGGCAACCCATGCAAAGCCAGGATACTAAACCCTAGCCTAAACTCTGTATCCTAAACCCTAAAGGCTAAACTACCCAAACACGTCGAGTGGCCCCGCATGGCCCCGCCAAGGTAACCCCGACAGGAGCCTTCTTGAACCCTGAATTAACCTTCTCACCGCGCCTTTTGGAAGGCGCACTCGTGCCCGAGGTCCCAAGGATCCACGAGAACTTGAAGGCAGTTACCATCCAACTCGAGGCCTCAAAAATAAATAAGCGTTCTCTAGGGCTCTGAGGGTTTTTGTAACCCTAAACTCTAAAGGTTAGCATCGAACTCGAGGTCTCAAACAACATGCGGCTAGTATGTACCCTGGAAGTCTTTCCATGCAAACGAGTAGTAAAACATAGTAACGCTTATAATGTGTTGCATGCACGATGTACAAACACGTGCATACCAGCATACCCAGGTACATATCTCTGCATGTATACATTTCCATGTGCTTACATACCTACAACTGTGTTTCGATGTAAGTATAAGACAAGCAGTATAATACATATATATATATATATGGGCATATGTATTTCATAAACCAAAGAATCTCTATATATATATATATACACACACTTAATCATTTGTATTTATTCAGAGAACGTCGCCCTCAGCGCCCCATTTTGTCGGGTCTGTAAGAAACAAACATCCAGGGTTTGTTTCAGAAAATATCACGACTTGGGTGAACACTGTCCTGGTAGGCGTGGAGTAAAGCAAGAAAATGGATATCGTAGCGTGAACCGCAGGAGCGCCTGAGCTCAATATGCTTGGCCCATGGCTTCGGGAAACGGGGGAAGCAGTGAGACCAAAAAACATAAAAATAACAAACGCTTTTAATTGATTTATCAAAACATATATATATATATATATGTTTTGTTTTTGTTTTTTTTGGCCTCGCTGCTCCCACCCTCCAATTTTACAATGACAATCAGAATCTAAGGTTCCCAGAACTGATGACCGGCACCTCAAAAATGGAAAAATCAACGGTGTGTGGAAAAATCAACGGTGTGTGATTTATGCACATTCGCTAAGATAAACTATGATCCAATCTTTGGAGCGTGGGGATGATGGGTATGCCAAGCTCTGAGGGGTGAATTTTCCCCCATAAACAGAGCTGTAACGTGACACCGCCAAGAAGAGTATGTTCATCCCCAAGGCTGGGGATGGTTGGTTTCTGAAATCATAAACCTCGGAAGATCGAGACGACAAAGGAACTAAGTTATTCGGAAAACGGGTTCCAAAGCACCAAATAAACTCCATCACGAGGAAGTGGCTCAGAAAACAGAAAACCAAAGTCTTGGGGATGTGGAAGTGGGAAGTGGTGACTGTCTGGCGAGGAGCCCAAGCTTAATGGGATATGTGCCGGACCTCAAATGCAACACCTTCGTCGCTTATAAGATACACTGGGTCTTGACCCCAGCACCTCTGAACAAACATCATCCCCGAAAATAACTGACTGGGTTCCGAGCATGACAGACTGGGTAGGTTGGGCAACAAACGCAAAGCTCAAAACAAAAACATGACCGCTTTCAACCTGTAAACCTCAAGTGGGTCGACCGATTCCCGAACATCCCGATGGGTGCTAACCCACCCCCAACCAGATGTGGAGTCACCCAAGTTGGGAGAGATGGCACATCCAAGACCTATGGGTGCTAAACTCCAAGGCAGATGATTGAGTGCCCCCATTGAAATATGATGGATGGCACATCTAAGATCCGAGGCCTCATGTCAAAAGCAAGTGTTCAAACAATAGATGGCCAAGCCGGCCAAGCCAATAAATCTGCAGCCAAAGATCACAGACGCGACTATACACTAGAACCCTGCAAGCATCCTCGTCGGGCAGGTTGGATGACAAAAAAAGCCACGAACCTTTAAAAGGAGATGATAGGGGTTATACCGTACAACCGAAAAAACAACAGTTGGAGAGGTGATGGTTGGCAAACCCAAATCCGTAGACGTTGCTGCCGGCTCCTATAAACTTTCAACCGCAGCAGAATAGGGGATGATAAGGGATAAACTGAATGCTCTTGAAATAGATTATGGACAGCAAATCCCTACTCCAAGGCACGTGCCCTTCAACAAAAATAATACAATAACCCCTAATCAAAAAAAAGTGTTGGGCCTTAAATTCATAGCAAGAAAAGATGGTGGCTTCGTCCCCGATTCTTAGAACACCCAGCAAGCCATATTAGAGGATGAGGGGCGACCCATGTACAACCCGCCAAAGAAGTCAATAAGGCCACAACGTCTGACAATTCTGACTCAGATGCGACACACACCCAAACCCGAAAGGATATGATGGCGGTGAATGTTGCTTTCCTAAATAAACATGCGATGCGATGTCGTAAGCCACAAAAGTTATTGGAAGAAGCTGCGCCCTGTACGCAAAGCTTCAATAGGAGGTGATGGGCCATCACAACTATCACAACACGACAGCTACATCCAATGCTTGAAATGAGTGGGCAGCTTACACATCACTTACAATTCAATAGGGCGGCTTGAATAAACGTCGTAGCTCTGTGGCCATGCACTATAATAGTACTGTTCCACATGAAATTATTTCGCATCGACACGAAAGTCTGCCAAAAAACATACCCAAAAACGTAGAAGAAAAAGCTTGTTTACGCGAAAAAGCGGGCCCTCATGCCGACGCACACTCTATTTAATAGTTCTTATGCACAGCTTATAACAATTTCAACTCGAAATTACGCGGGTGACGACACGGCTAATTTCTGCAGCGGTCGACATGGAATTTCAACTTCTAGATTAGTCGGATTTGGGGCTGATGGCTAACAGTAGCAGCAGTAGTGGTAGTAGTCGTCGTCGAAAAGCGGTAGTAGTAGCAGCAGCAGAAGCAGCAGCAGGTGGTAGCGGTCGTGGTAGTGGTAGCAGTAGCGTAGTCGTAATGGTAGATTGGTAGTGATACGACAGATGCAGTGGTCGTGGTAGCAGCAGCAGCCGAAGAAGAAGAAGCAGAAGGAGTGCCTTTTTGTTTTTTTTATGTGAGAGCGCAGAGTCCCAAAACAGCTGTCTGTCCCGGTGCAACCAATTTGGACTGACACTCATGATAGCAATGTCAGGGATCCGGCGGTGGATCTTTTTTTTTAGTCTTGGGTGGAGACAATTCCGCGAAAACCTCAGAAAACTCCCAAAGTGCTTATGAGCTGCCTCCATCTGTACAGCAGCCTCCCCACTGCGCACAGGAAGTCTGGCCTTGTTGCTTTGTGTCAGCTGAGCGACGTGCTGCTTTCGTTTGTAGTTTGAAGACTGACTGAAGACACCTATGTTGAATCATCAGACAAAGAGAACGTCGCCCGTTACATGCAACCGTGCCTGCTGCCCGTTCTGGCGTCCCAAACGCGAAGAAGTGGTCTTGGTCGCCGTCTGGTCTCGCGGAGCTTTTCATCTGCAGGAATGTCCACAGCCAGTTCCTCGCCCCTGATGTTCAAGGCAGTGTTCATCGCCTCGTCTTCCTCCAATCCAGCTGCATGGAGTTTCGCTCTGAGAAGCACTGGCCCCAAAGAGCACTGTCAGCCAAAGCAAGATAGGATGGTAACATAACCGGAGAATTCTCCACATCTCGCCTTCCTGCACACCATGCCGCTTGACAGCGTCCCCGGCGGCCCCGAGCATGTGAATTCGAAGCCCGTTCTCAATCGAGCCAGACTTGGCGGAGTGATGCTGAGGCTCTCGTGCAGCCCTGTTTGAACAACTGTGCACTCCGGGACCTCACTCAGCAATGTTTCTACTGCTGAAACCGTGATGCCATTATCAGTCGCTAGATCTTGGTAAAAGTCTTCGACGTCCGTGCTGGGATCGTAACAGAGATTACCGAAATTGGGCAGGGCCACAACACTTGCTCCTCTAAAGCGAAGCTCATTATCACAGCGTTTACGAGAAAGATATATTCCAAAAAAAAAGCCGATGACATCGAAATGCTGACAGAACGTGTCCTTGCAACAATGCCGTTCTCAGCCTTGGCCTGCGGCACGAATGACCTCACCGAGGCGCCTGTAGCGGATCTCGCACGGCGTGCAGGCGAGAAGCACGAGTCGAACGGAGTTGCTGTAGGCATCTGCGATGCTTGTGTTGTCGAGCTCAACTCGGTCAAAGCTGTAAAGAACCACATCTTCGACATCCAGGCCAAGTCGTTCTAAAATGCCGTGCTGGACCTCAGTGAAGCTTTTGGAAAAATCCGGTATGGGAGCCCTCCACTGCGTAATGCCAAGATATCAAAGCATCCTCTGCCCACTGGTCCTGAAGACTTCCTCCGCGGACTCTTGTACATCTGCTCCTCTGCAAAAAAAGCTGTGGCAGCAACAGGCTCGGGCATGAATCTCGTTGCCCAAGCGTTGGCGGTTGGCCTCGACTTGCCCGCTGCAGGCTTTGTAGCAGCAGCCTTCACAAAGGTTACGATTCCTGGCCTAGCCGGGGCTTTCCTTCGTCGCTCCTTGGAGCACGCTTTCGGCGCAAAGCCGTCCGCCGCTCTGTGTCGCTGAACCTGCCCATGACCCTTTTGATGAAACCGCTGGAAAAGGCTTCCTTCACAGGCCTTGAGCATGCTCCGATCAGCAACTGTTGTTGCAGGAGTGGCGCCGTGGAATCGCATCCCAGGTGCTTCGTTTGGGGTGGGCTACAAGCAAACCCCAAGCACAGCACTGTCTGGCTCAGAAAGGGTCTTTCTTTAATAGGGAAGTGCAAAGAGAGCACTACTTGGATCAGATAGTTCGATGATTGTAAAAATTCAAAAACATCTTTTGTGTCGAAAACTAAATAAACCTTCGGAATCTCTGCAACCTGAGTCACATCAATAAACCCTTGAGATGTGCATAGTCAGCGACAGGGCCCCGCCCCACACCGACGAAGCTGTAGATCTTAGGGTATGTACTTTTTCCTCTGGTTTAACCCGAACACATACCCCAATAACCGCACCACACCATCACGAACAAGAGCCAACGCCATCACTAGGTGGGGTTGTCGGCGTAGTAGTTAAGTGACAGCCAGTTAGCAACCAACAAGGTGGAGGTTTTGGGGCATCGGATTACGGGTCTGGGAACAAATCCTGTGCAACTTGGGACGACTGAGGTCGCTAATTCCGGACAGTTTCGACGCGACGTCGTGTCACGTCGCTATAGTTTGAGCAGTATATGTATATCTACTATATATATATACACATACATACATACATACATACATACATACATGCATACATACATACATACATACATACCTATTTACGTGCGTACATACATACATACATACATACATACAAACAAACATACATACATACATACATACATACATACATACATACATATATATATATATATATATGTGTGTGCGTTTGTGTATGTGTGTATATATATTAGTATATTTGCATCGTATATATTACATATATATACACATGTGTGCATTGCGTACATATGTGCAAACACAACATAGCGTTCAGACGGTTGTGTGGGTTTTACCGAAGCATATGCCTATACGTACTCATTATTGGTCGATGTGGCGCTTTTGTTCATTGCCAATCACTAACGTGGCTATTCGGATTTTGTCGCCACTCCAATGGAGAATCTGTGATAGTCGTATTGACAGTATCAAAGATACTCTTTTGCTAACGAACGTGGATGTCTTCCCTGTCATTGTTGTTGTCGTCCATATCACATCATCGTCATTATTGTTCTCCTCCTCCTCCTCCCCATCATCATCAGCGTCATCATCCATGATCTTGAGACCGTGATAAGCATCAGGACATTCCTCCACACTGTCTCCACACCACCACCATCAGTGTCATGATCGTGGCGACCTGAGATATCCACCCATGCGTTTCCTGTAGAACCATTTTCAAAGCCGGCCCTGTGCACACTACCACACGCGCTTGCAGCAGGCGGCACCAGCGGATCCAACCACTGCAAGCACGACGACGAAGTGCTACTGCCGCTACTCTTGCATGAGTTATCGCACCAGCAAGCAGACCCATTTTCTCTCCAGCTCAAAGATCTTCGATGCTTGGGAAATCGGGTTGATCTTGCGACTCTACACTGTTCAGAATTCCCAAGTTGAGGGTTCATGGCAACCGAAGTATCTACATTGAGCAGAACTTAGAGGTACAGGACTCCTACTTGCAAGCAACCATGACGAGTAAAGCAAGTCAAATCCACACCCCGAAGTGCCCTAAACCCCAAACCCTAAACCCTCAACCCTAAGCCCAAAAAAACACCATGGATAGTGTAAACACAATTGAACACTCGCAAAGACCTTCGTACCCTGGCCCAAAAGCCTCAATCGGGCTTTTGAGGTTTTGGGGATTTCGGGGTTCAGGGGGTTTAGGGCTTTAGGGCTTCAGGGGTTTAGGGCTTTAGGGGTTTTGGGGTTTAGGGTTCAGGGTTTGGGGTTGGGGGTTTAGGGTTTAGGGGTTTTGGGGTTTAGGCTTAGGGTTTCGGGCTGTTCCCTTCAAGCCGAGGTGCCTCTACCTTCGTGGGCCACACGCACCACATAGGAGCCTCCACGTAACCAGTTTAGGGCTCAGGGCAAAAAAGGGGCCTTAATAATTACCTATACTACAAGGGGGTTCCTTATTATGGTTATAGTATAATAGTATGATATACTCCGAAACCCTGTTTTGACTGTTAAGGCCCCGATATTAGGCCCCCGAGCGCTTCATTCTAGAAGCTTGTATGAGCCGGTACGTACGGTTCAGGGATTATAGGGCTGACCCAATCGATTCTTCCGCATTTTGAAACGACTAACGCCGGGTGACTGGGTTACATAAGAAATGACTAGCAGGTAAACATTTAGGAAAGGTTTAGGGTTTAGGGGTTTAGGGGTTTCGGGTTTAGGGTCCGGGGGAGATGGTAGTCTAGCATTGCAGTAGGAGCCAACATTTTCAAAAATGGAAGGCTCTGAGCTGAGCAACATATAGGGCCACGGGGTTTTCGGCTATACTAACTATACCATCGTTCTTTATATGAGACCGGAGGAGTACGTTATGGTGATTATTATTCTTCAGGCTTCTACAGTATGTACAATGTACATGTAACCGAATGTAACCCCAACTAGGGGTACTTGTAGACCCATGCCTACTCCTATGATTCTCAAAGCACATGCACGGACGGTTGTTGACGTTTCGGGCCTTGCTTCACCGATCTTGGCACGGCTATAGCACATATAGAACCCGCACTGGTAAAACCTACACCCTAAACCCAAAACCTATTTTTCAGATTCCATGAAGAAGGGGGACCTTGACAAATCCCATGTATAGATGTCAAACCGGGAAACCCTAAACCGCCCCAAACCCTGTAGAAACCCGACATACCCAAGTTGTGTATCCTAAAACCTTCAAAACCTTAAACCCTAAACCCCGCTCAGGCCCAAACCCACTGTGTGCAAACTGAACCATATCCCTCCCCTCCCTCCTGGTGGGGACTGCCGCAGCAGCTCCTCCTTGGTCAATTCCACGGCACGGTTTAGGGTTTAGGGTTTAGGGTTCAGGGTTCAGGGTTCAGGGTTCAGGGCTTGCTTGCGTTACTGTACATCGAAGACTCTGAAAACATTAACCACGGGGTTTAGTTCTCAATTTTTCTTCTGGTGAAAGAGTGAGACCATCCAGGGCTGAAGGTTCGAATTTCGGATAGTTTAGGGCTTCAGGGCTGTGGGCATCGGCCCTGTCGCGTTTAATTAGGGTTCAAGGCCAAGTTAAGGGGTTTAGGGTTGCAGAGCCTTCGGACCGGAACATGGGCTCAGGGATTTAAATGTGAGTTAGGGTTTAGGGTTTTCGGGTTTAGGGTATAGGGTTTAGGGGTTTGGGGTTTAGGTACTGACGTTGCTGAGATGACAAAGAAGCACACTCGGCTAACAAGTGACGACATACCTTGAAGGCGAACTTCAGCAGATGTTGAGTGCACAGCAGATGTTCGGCCCAGAAGATGCGAAGCAACATGGAGTGGAACAGCGAATCAGTGGCTGAAGACCCTAAACCTTACACCAACCTCCCTAAACCCAACAAAGTCCATAAAGGCAATCCTGAAGAGACCTTTTCCCTAAACCCTAAACCCTAAACTCGAAACCCTAGGATGCGAAGGTCTGGACGGCCAAGACCCAGAACCGAAGAAGTAGGGTTTGGGGCTCTTAAGTTTAGGGGTTTAGGGGTTTAGGGTTTGGTCGGCTTTTCAGGCTTTTAGTAAGTAGGCTGTTTGGATTTCTGGGCGTTTCTAGGGTCTAGGCGGATGTAGGGTCCGAAAAAACTACCAATACTATTTTTTGGGGGGATCCTTGCTATAATCGTAATTTAATGGGTCCCAAAACCCTATTCTAATTCGCCTCGGTCCCGGCCGAAGCCGTCTGCAAATGCCTCTGCGTTGTTTGTACGCAATGTCCTCCCCCTCCCCGGTCCTTGAAGGTGCCAGCACCCTAAGGGTCCAAATACCCAAATAGTAGGGTTTCAAGGTCCAAAAGCCACTCAGAGCATGGATTTGGGGGATCTAAAACCTTAATATTTGGGTACTCGGACCCTCTGGGAGCGGTTCGTTGGCCCTCTTTGTTTGCGG